CCAGGTTTCGTTGACGTCATTGGATCTACTCCCCCCAAATTAAAAAAGCCAGGGCCCTGAGCTTAAAATACCAACCCTAACCCTACATGGATCTCGAAAATCTGAGACCTGGAAAAACAGGAATCCAAAATTGAGAAATCCCTTGATCGCTCAACGGCCACGTACTACTGAATCCCGGAAGCAGCTCTCATGTGGGGTGCATCAGTGCATCAGTGCTCAGTTCACATCTTAGACACCTACGTTGCGGTGTATGTGTGAAACATGTGAATCGATCTTGAATTGCTTCGATCTGAGATGGAAGTATATGTACATGGCGATCTGAGACCTTTTTTTATGTGTAGGTATTTCCTTTTTTTTCTTGGGGTAGAGCCCCAACCACAACAACACCCCTCCCCCCTACCGAAAGCCGTTGAAGGTCGCTTCTCTTGACTAGAGTGGGTTTAGGTGAATGGGCAATGTGAGATTGTATATGGGAAATTCCTGTTCCCGTGCCCTGTGAGCTAGGCATCAGCACACTCGTAATGCCACCGAGTCAGACATCTGCGGCGCGGTATTTTGGCCTTGCCAGATTTAATTACAGAACAGTAGTGAGTTGATAAATGCGCTCATTCCCTAAACTGGGTAAATTAGCGGGCCTTGCAGTAGTGAATCGTCTCATATCGGTGGCCGCTTGTTCTAGATCTCGGGATTTTACTAGACTGTAGGATCTGTGTCTGACTAGGGACAGAGATCAACGATGCAGGTAGGATATGTGTCAATGATTCACTCTTCCAAGTGGACTTGAGGACCCAGGACCTAGCTTACCCCCCCTCCCTCCTTTTCTTCCTTCCTCTCCAGCCAAGTCTGAAACCTTGCCATGGCTAGGTCAGGACTCTGCTAAAATGTTACAGAACCTCAAAGGACCTGCAGTATCAAACCAGGTTTCTTTCTCGTAGACTTGGATTTTTGGTCATTTTTTGGAAACCAGGATGAACACGTCTTCAAATTCGCTGTGAGACCATTCACTTCCTTCGCGCCCACCACTCAACGACCACATAACAACCGACCCAAGACGCACATGCGTACTCTGGCTCCATAGGGATTCTTTTTGGAGAGCGACTGGCATGATCCCTGGGCATCCTGCATGATCATAAGATCTAAGCCTTATTACTCGTGAATCGTGCCAATTAGAGCAGGAGTGTGGCAAGATTAGACAGATAGGCGAGGATAGATCGTAAAAAAGCAAGCCCGCAACCCCGGCATCTCTCGCATCGCAGCCGTGCCTTTCCCCTGGGTGTGATGTACCGAGAGTCTTGAATAAGGCAGTCCAGGGGCAATGATTGAATTCCACAAATAAGGCAGGCAAAGCAAAAGCCCTTTTGATTCTGGTCCGTTGGATTAAAATTCAGGCGTTGTCCTCATGTTCTGTTGACCAACCTACTCAGCTTACTTATTTGCCTCCAAGGTCTTTTTTTTTCGGTGGCAAAGCTGAGCCCTTGTTTCTTGAGCTTGAGCGGCTTTCATTGGTGTTAAGCCCAAGACGCAATACAACCTCAGGAGATATAACTATCCAGTGGAAAGTATCCTAAGAAAATATCCTAAGAAAGTTTTATTCAGCATTGGCTAATTAAGCATAACAATGAACACTTAGCTATAAGTAAGAGGTATGAGGTTCGCTTTGATTACTTAAATCTTATCTTTACCCCAAAATAAACGGATACAAGCATGCCAGGAACTTCATTCGTTCAGCTAATGACTTTATAGATCTTCATTTGAATTTTAGAATACATACGACGATGGTCCTAATACCAAAGCCCATCACTGGAGTCCTATGTGGATGTTGAAGTTGACGTCGTAAGGTCTCAGTGTGACGGTTTGGGATACATTGGCAACGTCGACGTTCAATTAAGGTGTGGCGACCAATCATCTGCATGGTTGGCAAGATAAGCATCTGCCTACCTGCTACTAGAGTATGTACATGTATTCTTCTATTAGTTATGCAGGGACCATTGCCTACATATACATACCAAGTAAACTTTACCTACCTCGCAGCACTAACTAATAATTACTGCTTTAGTGAAATGAAACATTTAGCGCCATATTGCCATGTGAGGCGTCGGGACCACGAATAAACATAATACATATCAACATATCAGATCGGACCCTTCCCCGACATCCAGATCGGAACTTCATCGAAGATGGGACAATTTACCCCGACGGGCTTCTACGCGGCGAGGAGTCGGGAGTGGGTGGGGGAGAAATTTCGAAACGATCGTTTTTTTCTTTCTTTCTTTTACCGGCAATCTTCTGGGCGAACCGAGACCGCTGCTGCAGCTGGTTTGAATGAAGATCTATCTTGTATCTTGTATGACAAGCCTTGGGGGGTAACACCTATCTAGAGTCCATGCACTCGACATATCTCTTCTGCATACATACTCCCGCGGCATGGAAGACTCAACTCGGATCGGCCAGATTACCGACAGGGGCGATTATTACTTTGACAGGCGATTTCTGGGATTGGGTTCTAAATACGACCAGTGATGGGTTGTATTTGTGTACGGCACATGCAAATTGCTCTTCTTATGGTGGTCTACCTGGATTATCTGTGTGACTTTACAGGGTGAATCAGAGCCCCGGCTTACGATGCTATATAACTCGTTAGAAATGCAATCAATTTACGGATACAACATTTTATTTTGTCTAATTCTCTGGTTCTTTTCGAAACGAAAACCACGTGGGAGGTGAGGAAGGCAGCAGTTGGTGCTAAATGGTGGTGGTTACTGTTTTATAATCACACCTCTTTTTTCTGTGTCGTTACTCTACGATAAATTGGCACATTCCGATCCATATACCCGACATGAACAAGATTCTGCCACCCCCCTCCCCCCACAAACAGCTTCAGGGACCTACGTCAGCCAGGCGCTGTGGAAATGTTTGTTTTCCCAGCGGCGGAATTCACTCAAAACCTGAGGTAAATAGCACAACAAGCAGCAAGTCCGATCCAGCCCCCCAGGATAATCGTTTCAGATGGGGAGACAGGGGGAGGACAAGAGGAGGGATGTCAGATCGTGCAGCTAACGGAGGGCGGATCTATATGTGAGGCTCTTATCCTGTATTGGGCCGTTAACATTACTATACCTAGAGGCCTACATATGCTCTATGATACTATTTCACATACCCTCTCTCTCTCCGGGTGCAATGCAGAAACGAAACGGGCAATTTCGGACGCAGGGTGTTTTGCGAGGATAAGCACGGCGATAAGGCCTAGGGCGGGCGTACCGGAATATGCATCGTGTCGATTTTCCGAATTTATGACCTGATGAGTGAAAGGGAGTAATCACGCAAGCCAGCCATTGTGGTAGTGGCTGTAGTGGTGGTGGTGGTGGAGGGAAGGGAAAGGGGCGAGCACTCAGAAAGCCTTTACACTTTGTACAGGTGGCAATTAAGTGGATGTGGGTGCATCACCGTCCAACGGACACATTGCTGTTGGACACCTCGTGGCCATCATCCTTTTTGGAGGAGAGGGCAGCATTTGTTGCTGTTGTTGAAAAAGCAACGCTGCTTGCTGATGCATCGGGATTTGCTTTGAACGACCTAAGCCGAGATGATGAATGATGACCTATCTGGTCTACATTATACATTATTATACATGGAGGTTTACAAAGTGTCGGTAAATTTTGTGTTTGGCCCCATCCATTACCGCCAGTAGGTGGGTTCCCAGGCAATGGGGATATGTACCGCAAGGCTACGAAAGGAAGGGGAAGGAGGGGGATACGGGTACCTGCACAGCATCTGCAGTTACCAGATAGAGTGCCTCTGTCTGATAGGCATATCGAGATGAACGTCGATATCGATAAATCACATTTAACTGGGGAAGGGGTCACATTTGCAGCTGGTCAGGGCACCAAAAAAGAGGTAGGGATTTGCTAACATGTATGTATATAGTAACTCTTTGAGTCACTCCGCTCCCGTAAGAAGAGATAGTACCTATCTTACAAATTAGTTTCACGAAAGAGAACAGCGTCGAAGGGTTCGAATTGGTAATCTTCCCCGCCCCACATTTTCCTGCTGTATGTACATACATAGAGCACATAAATAGGGACTTTTTATTTTATTTTGGGAGGGGAATGTATTTACACACCTGCATGGTGGGTGGATGTATGTATGTATGTACATGTACCTATTTCCTTCCATTCTCCGCCGTACACCACCTCCACACACAGTCTCCCTCTCTCTCCGGTCCCACTCTCTCCGGTCCCACTCTCTCCGGTCCCACTCTCTCCGGTCCCACAACTAGCTCTTTACCCTCCCCGAGACCTGCGTTTCGTTTGTCCGTGTCTCAAACCGCTGTCTGCTGCTTGTGATCGGGCACTAGGACGGACCTCACTGGTCGTAATTCCAGTAGCCAAGTTAGTAATCCTCGGGAACTGGAGCCTGCTCCAGGGATTAGTTGATTGGGTTTTTGATTGATTTGATCTATGATGGCGGGATCGGGAGAGCTTGTCTAAATCCTCATTGACCAGGTACATCACCACTTTCTAGGTCTAGGCACATATACATACATAGAGTACCTACACTCCATTACTCCACATTCGATTACTGCATCTGTATCTGTTCCAAAGGGAACACGGGCGTTTGAAACCGATAAATAAATAGCTTTTAGTGTTAGTGCAGCGCCCGCAAATCTTATCGCCGAAACACAAACGATAAGCAGCGCAGCATCAAGGGTCCTGAAAGGAAGAAAAAATTCCTTTCGTTAATCCCGGGGTCGGCTTGCAAATCAATTAACCCCGCGCCCACCGCAAATAGTGTAAGCAATTGCAAGCCCCCAACGTCGCATCATTACCACCCACTACCAACCAAAAACTCAATCCACCACGGCTGCCCGCAAATTCGAATTGTTACTGCTGCCAGCCAGTCCCCAATCAATCACTTGCAAATCAATCTGCCTGCTAGCCGCTGCCGCTGCCGCATACACATCGCCGTGCCCGCTCCCTCCACCCCCACCCCCTCACAAGTAAATGGGTCTACTGTATGTGTCTTATTTACCCCGCCGCCGCCCTGGGGAAAAGAAGGAGCTCTGCTGATTAAGCCACCCCTCCCCAATTAGAGCTCTTGGAACCCCGCTGGAATGGGAGGATGCAAAGCACCACGCCGATGAGGTTCGGAAGCTGGGGATACAGGTATGCGAGATGTTACAGCCGGCCCTATGCACCAATGCAGGGGGTGGTTTCTTTATTTATTTTTAGTTGGATCTTTTTTTTTTTTTTTTTTTTTTTTTGAGGATGAGCAATTGCTGACGGATCATTGTTGGTTCTGGTGTAGCAATTACTGGAGATTTGGAAAAATTATAGAGGGAACGAGAGGGATGTGTTGCTGTGGGGAGATGAGGTGCGTCGATTCTTACGGGAAGAGGAGTGGACTATATGAGAGCTTCTTATATGTTTCACTACTACCTCTACTACTACGTACTTGCGGTCTGCTAACAATAATAATGAACTGTACTGCTTTAGCTTGAGTATCTTGTTGTCTCCTATGACGAGGGGGGAAGGCGTGCTCTGCTTTCGCTTCGGCAAGCCGAAATTCTCGAGGAGCTTGCCAATGACGAAAAATTGCGAAAGGCAGGGGGCGGTGTCCCAGAGATCAGTAAACCAGAAGAGTCAGTATTTGCTAGTTGCAGTTACAGTTTCATTATAATTAGGGGGAGAAATGTCTAATAAGCTTCTTCTATGCAGCGTCTGTGGGCCCATGCCAACTTTCCACCCCGAATACGGGCGTTTCCAGATCGAATCGACCCCTGGTGCGCCCTTCAACCTGACCTGGAAAGATTTGCTGTCTGTGGAGAAAGACATGAAGCGCAGGTGCGTCGTCTTTGTCTTTCGTTAGTTGGCTCCGCTTTTGGCCAGATAGCTAGAGCACACTCCACTCCACTGCTATGCTATTGAGTATTGGGGCCAAAAACCGGTTTTTTTATATTTACTTTTTGCCTTTGCAGGAGAGTCATTGCAAAGCAGCACATGGCCAAAAACGAGGCGGTCATCACGCTGCCAAACTTCCCGCTACTGGGCTCAAAGGACGTGTTTACTCATCCGCCGGTCGTCGCAGATGGGTCAAGGTCACGGAGCCAGTTCCTCTCCGACGTTGTGATAAACCCGCACATCCGTTTCCCCACGCTGTCGGCCAACATACGGTCACGGCGCGGCAAGAAGGTGGCCATCAATATGCCCATCTTCTACGACGAGAAGACGCCCCGACCATTCCGTGACCCCACAATAGACTACGATCGACACCTATTTCCCGAGGACGACGATGTGCGGAATGGTGCAGCACAGGAGGGTCACATCTATATGGACGCTATGGGTTTTGGGATGGGCTGCTGCTGCCTGCAGATCACGCTGCAGGCGAAGAATATCGTCGAGGCGAGAATGCTGTATGATCAGTTATGCCCATTGGGTCCGATAATGTTGGCCCTGACGGCGGCTACCCCGATTTTTAAGGGCTTTTTGGCAGATGTGGATGTAAGGTGGAATGTCATCTCCCAGGCTGTGGACGATCGTACCGATGAAGAAAAGGGATTGAAGGTCAACCACCTCCCCCCCTTTCCCCTACCTTCTAATCATTACCACACAACACTCCCCCTTGAAATGATTCAATTGTTGGCGGAATGGATCTCGTGGTGGATGTAAGATGCTGATACGGAAATTGCAGCCGCTCAAGAATAACCGTTTCGTGATACCGAAATCAAGATACGATTCGGTATCTGCGTACATCTCGCAGGACCCCCGTTTTAGGCCAGAGTACAATGATACGGATCTTGTAATCGACAAGGACATTAAAAAAACACTTATGGATGATGGTCTGATTGGCCCCCACCCTTCTATCTTTAAAAATCATTTTTATCGATTTTATCATAATTATCATATTATCGGGATGACGCGTGACTGACTTTTTCTTCTTTTTTTCTTTACTTTTTTTTTGCAAACTACAGGTATGGACGAGAACCTGGCAGCTCATTTTGCCCACTTGTTCATCCGGGACCCGTTGGTTATCTTCCAGGAGACCTTAGATGAGTCTCCAGAGGGTAAGGCGGACCATTTTGAGGTGAGACCAGCCCGGGAGAGCGCGATAGTGTGAAGCAATTGCTGACCATGCCTCCTTACTTGGGAGGGTTTAAGAACCTCCAATCGACGAATTGGCAACATATGCGGTTTAAGCCTCCTCCACCAGGTGGTAATATTGGCTGGAGGGTAGAGTTCCGTAGCATGGAGATCCAATTAACTGACAATGAGAATGCTGCATTCGCCATATTCATCGTACTTCTCACGAGGGCGATCTTGTCTTACGGATTGAACTTCTATATCCCGATATCCAAGGTTAGTCTTAGTAGCTTTTTTCTGCCACACGTAGCCAGGGCCAGCACACATGGACTTGGTTACTACGTTGGTCAGATATAGTATTTTCTCATCTTGTGTCCCTGGCTGACCCTGGGTCCACCACCAGGTCGATGAGAACATGGCAACGGCACACCGCCGCGGTGCAGTCCTGACCGAAAAGTTCTGGTTCCGCAAGAACCTTTTCCCACCGCGCAAGCCCACCAACGGGGGCACCCCAGCACCATCACGCCCCGCCTCCCCCGGTCCCGTCGAGAGGGAGTACTGCCTCATGACAATCGACGAGATCATGAACGGCAGCAAGACCAATGAGTTTGTGGGGCTGATCCCCCTGATTGAGAACTACCTCGACACGGTCAACGTCGACGTTGTGACCCGCTGCGAGTTGGCTGGATATTTGAGCTTGGTCTCGAAGCGCGCAAGCGGGGAGCTGCAGACGGGTGCCGCGTGGATCAGGGAGTTTGTTCGCGCCCATCCCGACTATAGGGGTGATAGCGTCGTGAGCCAAAGCATCAACTATGACTTGATCAAGGCGTTGGATAGGTTAGGGAACGGTGACGGCGTGCTGGATGAGCAGTTGTGCGGGAGGCTGCTGGGGGGGTCACGGGCGTGAGAGTAATTGGTGTGCGGTGAGGGAGAGAAGTGCGTCCCGGCACTCGATAAAAAATTTGTTACTTGGGGTTGATATACCCGCCTGCGTTAAATTTATTCCTTTTTATTCTTTTTTTATATCTCGTCTCTTGTGGTGACCTGACCCGACCTGACTCGACCTGAGAACTATTATTGATGTCTTGATACCAGCCTGGGAACCCGTTGTATGTCTCTGTCTCCATCTCTCATTCTGGCCTGCTGGGTTATTTCCGGACTTGTGGTAGCAGCGGTCACTTCCATTGGTAAGTAGCGGGCGGCGGTTGTTGAGGTTGTTGTGGTTGAGTTGTGGTTGTGGGTTGTCGTCTGTACTCTACTGTGCTGCTGAGTACTTTGCATACAGCGACCTGCATATCAAGCAACATCCCACGCAGCAGTAATAATAATAATTCCTTCCCGCAATCACAGGTCCGTCCCAACGAAGGCAGTACAGTAGAGTACAGCTGCACAGTACATCCAATACCTAACTACACCACAGTACTCTACATATACACACATCCAGTACAACCAACCCACCCACAATTAAGCATCCCCCCCAATTGCAGTCCCCCAATCCCTTCCCTCGCCTCCTTCCCTCCCACAACCCATTCGTCCACCCTAATCACGATCCCAATGTCATGCCATGCACACCGCCCACGTTTTTTTCCCTCAGCAGTAGAGTAAGTGGTATGTAGAATACGGATATACATAGAAGTAGAGTACATGTACCGGGTGTTGAGGGTAAGTGATCAGAATCTGATAAGTGAATGTTGCGGTGAATACGTGTATTTGTCTTATCAGATTCTGATCACTTTTCGCTACACCCTAGTACACACACACCAAGGGAAGGGAACTCCCGCATCACATCACATCAATCTCACGCTACACCCAAGATTCCCTCCTCGATAGCAAATCTTCGGGACCACCCTCCCCACCACCCGCCGCCGGTGGCTCTGGAAACGTGGGGACGCACTGTGAAAAAAAGTACAGGGTGCATTGTTCTTTTTCGTTTTTTTATGGAGGGGGAGGGGAAAGTGCCGGGTACTGGATGTGCGTGTGTGCTGAGAGGCTACCTGCTTGATGGTAGGTGTAGAGGCAGTAGTAGGTTGTGTACATACATGTACATTATTATGTACTCTGGAATAGTAAGATGTAGGTACATGTACCTATCACCTAGGTTGCTGACCCGGCAGAGGGTCACTTAGTTTTTTTCCTTTTTTGGTTTATGTAGGTAGGTGAGGTGTGGTCACTTGAGTCGAAATACTCTCTTCTGTCGAAATACTCACTTTCCTCACATTATCTTCAGCACCACCCGGGTTCTCAATTCCTCCTTTTCTTCCCTAGCTTAATTAGCTATACACATAGCCAACAGCTAAGCTAAGGGGAGCCTAAAAAAGCAGGAGAAAAAAGAAAAAACGAAAAGCGAAAAAGCGAAAAACGCCCCTTGTGATCGGCGAATATGTATGTGTGAGTGTGTGTGAGCGTGCTTGCTTGCGTGCGTCTTTTGACATGTTGACGTTGACGTGTGGAATGGACCATGAAACCGATTCGAACGCCCCGGAGGAAAAACCAAATCTTGAAAAATACGTAATGGTACAGCTTTTCTTTTTTTTTCACCAGCTACTACTATGATTGGATTGGATTGGATTTGTCCAATTGGTTTGATTTGGTTTTGGGGGAATGATGTGTATTCACCCATCGGAGAATTCTTTTTGGGGGAAGGGGAGGGAGGTGAGGGGAGGGGAGGTGTCAGTGATAGTTAGGGCTGGTCCAAAACAAAACGTTGAACGAACGAACGGAAAGAAGAAGAAAAGAGAGAGAGAGAAAAAGAAACTTAAAACCGGAGACCACGAGAAAAGAAAGTCGAGGAGTGTGGTTGTGATGAATGATCGGGTGGCCGTGGGTTGTCGTGGTTGCGGTGCACCATCGTCATCATGGGTCAGCCAGGTGAGTGAGATCTTATGAGTACTGTGCCGTGAATAAACGGACTGATACCCCTCCTTCTGTCTCTGCTTCTCTGTCTCTCTCTATATCTCTTAGACCTCCCTCACCTCGCACCGGCAATATCTCACTGTCGTACTCCTAGCACTCTCTCACTATCAATCAATTAACTCCCAATTGACTTTCCCGCAGCTGCACAGGGTCAAGTAATATAATTTCATGATAAAATAGCCAACTCTGAAAACATACTAATACAATTCCAACTGAACCAACACAAAATGATAGACACAGAGACAGAAACAAGATAGAGATAGAAACAAATCGATATCATGAGATGCATGCGCCCTCCCACCCACCACCTCTATTTGCTACATAGGCGCTAGAGGTTCATTCGATATATGTATATGGTACGACATCAAAAGCTAAACCTGTACCCCTAGAAGCACCCTCCACCATCCGATATATGCCTACCGGCGTGCTGGCTGACCTCATCTCTTGACATTGAACCTGCAAGCAAGCAGGAAATGGAAAGACCGGGGGGGGGGGGGGGGGAGTTGAACGGCGAGCAGAATAGGGCCAAACTAACGAGGAGGGGATCGAGGTATAGAGTGGTGGATATAGCTTGATAGGAAGCGCTCATCCATCCAGGTGGCCCTCGGGCTTGAAAGACAAACTGAAACAACAGAACAGAAAACCCGATAATAGAACAAACGTACGCAGCAATATAACCGCAGAGGTAGGCAGGTATACGAAGCAAGAGCAAAATAAATTGATATATGGATGAGGAAGAAAAAAAGTAATTATATCACTTAGAACAGAAGCTGGAGCCAAATATAAAAAAGAAAACGCACGAGACAAAACAGCTAGCCAGGCCCACGCACGCATAATAAAGCAAGGCGTTTAAAATATAGAAGTGGTCAAAAACTACCGACGAAAAATATGATCATGATATGCCAGGTTTTACATAAAATAAAACCGCAACCAGCCAGCCTCAGCCTACATACCGTTTTTTTTTAAAAACCCTCTTTCCAAAAAGCAAAGCAATAAGCAAAAAATAAAACCAAGACCAAGACAAAAAAAGAAAAGGAAACAAAGAAACACCATACATCACATCACATGGACCATTCCCCTCCTCCACCCGTCGACATCAACGGCCCCAAAAAGTCACCAAGGTCCTCGCTTTCCGGATACCCGCAGCCATCATCACTCTGAAACCCCTCCTCACTCAGCGTCGAGAAGCTCGATGTGCTGGGCGGGGCTGGAGCGACATTACTGTTATGTGAGTACTCTCTTGTTGCTGAGCCGTTCAAACTCCAATGCTGATCAACCGGACGGGTACCTGTGTGGTCCATATTGCCAGCAGTGATCATATCGCCGCCGCCGTCACCATATATGTGAGCCGCATGGGTAGCATCCATTGTCGCCAGTAGCCGCTCCCAGTCATTTGTTGACATTGAGACCCGGCCCGATGATGAGGTCTGCGGTAGCGAGCTGGTGCTGCCATTTGCCGCCTCGACGTTACTCCACATGTTTTCCATATTATATGGCATGTCAAACGGGCTTGCCGATGGTGCAGCCGAGTACCGGTTTCGGGGCAACAGATCAGTAAGGGATGCCGACGTTAGCCGGTGCCCATATTGCATGTTACTAGGCACGTCCTGTGCACTTGTGCTCGCTCGGCGCATCGCACCTGGGGTCTTGTGTTTTCGGGCGTCCATTCCGGGAAGGATGGATGAGAATCTTCGGCGGACTGAAAGTTGCTCCGTCGGACTGGATTGTGGCGAGACAGAGGATTCTCTGGGTTTATCATGGCGGAACGATAAAGGTGAAACCGATGATCTTCGTGGGGTTTGAGTTTCAAGTTTTACAATTGATGTGGCAATTGGCTTAAACTCTGTGTATAAGGTTGGGGAGCAGCTTTCCAACTCTTTTAGCATACCGATAATCAATTTTTGATTCTCCTTTGCTAGTGAACTGTCTTGTGGACATTCTGCAGAACTGTAAAGAAGGATAAATCCAGCCAGAACAAGTATTTTGGCCTTGTTGAGGCAGAAAGAAAACCCAAGCTTCCGCTCGGTGAGAAGTTGCACAATCTGGACGATGCATTTACTCGACTCTCGAATGGCATGCAAAGACGCATTTGATTTCTGCTGGAGAGTAGAGCCGACAACAGGTCTGTGAATCAATACGCGGATGTAATGATACGATAAAACCTAAAAAAAAATAAAAAATAAAAAAATCCAGTCAGTCAATCATTTCTTATAAGTTGCCTAATAATCCAGGCCGGATCGGGCAATTCATCTGATAATCCTTCGTCTTCAAAAACTAGTTGACGACATACCAATAATGGACTGCGACTATGCACGACATTTGTCGCCGGTGTTCCATTCACAAATTCCAACCTCAAATGAGGAGCCAGTCCCGATTTCCATGCATCAAGTTCATCTTCCAACTCTTTGAGTTTGGTATAAGTCAACTCCTTCAACCCGCCAGTCGGATAAACGGCATCCAGTACCCTCGCTAGTATCCGACTACTCCTGAACAACGCAAGCGCACTAGATATTTTCGTCGAATCCCCCGGCAGAGTAGGCAGAAATCCTTTCTCAGAGACATACTCGTCATCGATATCTGATGGATACTCGGTATCTACATCGCCTTCATTCAAAAGCTTAGGTAGGCCGAGCATAGCCGCGGAAAAACTGAAAAGGGAAATGAGAGTCAATGATTTAAGTCACGAGAAAAATAATGCAGGGTTAGGCTACGTTACCTGTCTAGACAATAGATACACCAAAACATTCTTTTTCGCATCTCGCCGCCCAAAGCGCCAAGGGAGAATTTCTTTTGAGCCTGGTTAAGTCCTAATCGGAGAACGATACCTACAGCGAGTGATTTATATTGTAATAGGCGTGCATAGTCTCCTTTCGAAATGCAATAAAGTTGGGCTAAAACAAGACACTGCAGGGTCTCTGTTGTGCTGTCTAGAAGGATAGTGTCAAGGGCTTGCTGCCATTGGGCATTTACTTGATCTTCAACACCATTCCTTGGCTATTATTATTGTCAGTATTTATGAACGAAAACATAAAAACAGAAAGGTAGGCGAGAAGTAGTTGGAGGTACTAGGGCTTGGCAAATATATCCTACATACCTCACTTTGCTGCAAGGCAATAGCGAAAACCAAAAAGAGTTGGGCAATGGCATGGTTCGGCAATGAGGTGGCTGTTGACCCGTCTCCGGAAACCAGAATCTCATACGAGGCCAAGAAAGTCGGGCGATGTAGGACGGGAAAGAGGGGATGATACTCTTGGAAATAAGAGACGAGAAGATGGTCCGACAGAAGCCGTGGGGGCGCTTTGATGCTATTCGGTAGTCGGTTCAGAGGTGCGTCTGCTGATGGTTTCGCGAGAGTTTGACCCCGGAAAAATGTATCACTCCGAAAATTGGCACAGCTGTCCTGTAATTTCCGTTTGAACAGATCTTTTGCGGGGAAATGGATGTTAGAGTTTTTTGATGACATATTCAAAATGTGGGGTAGACATATCAAAAAATTCCCCAGAAAACGGAGGCCCGAAAAGAAAAAAAAAGAACGAGTAAAAAAAGACTGGATGAAATGAGTAAACGTACCAACAAAAGATCTTCCGCTGGAAGAGCCCACGTAGAATCCACCTGTAGCGTCTTCATCGCCCGCCACTAAAGTAGGATTCTCGTGGGCCACAAAAGAATCCTCCACAATTACATCCGCCGACTCGCTCCTCGCACTAGCCGGCGAACCTCTATTACGATGTGATACCCCTGATGCCGCACTTGCAGGTGGTGAATATGGTGAGAATGAATGTATCCGTGAGAGCATATCCAGTTGCTCATCCTTCGAGTCCAATAAGTCCTTCAACTCCCTCGTCTCCTGTTCCAAACTTCGCACTCGCTCCTCCAGTGACTCGGTATATCCCTCGGGAAGGCGCGTCTCGATAGTTTGTCTGATGTCTTGCACTCAAACCCGACATTCGCACATTGGGAGCAACAGGGTCGGATCCCATCACAACGTATCTTCTTTGAACGGCAGCGGTCACAGGCTTGTGCAATACGTGTTTGACTGCTACCGCATTTGATGAGCTTCATTGGAAGTATTCCAGGCATCTTTGCGGGTTTCTGGTGTTGATGTCGATAAGGAAAATTGGGTGTGTGTGGGGATGGGTGAAGGATTTTTCAACGGAAAGGGATGCGGTTAAATGATCGACCGTTGGGTGGTGTTAAATGGGATAGTAAAGTCAAAATGAATCCTTTCCCTCGGGACTGTTTATTTCTCCGGCGCCTCTAATATCGTGGTCGTTCCTGCTGCTACTGGTGTTGTACCTGGAGGTTTCCTCTTCTTGATCTTGTTGGCGGTGTTGTCGTCTCTTTCTCAAATGAAGTCAGGTGCATCAAGAAAGATGGATGGATGTATAGGTAAAGCCTGGAAATGCGGAGAAGACGAGGATGATACCTGGCAACCTGGGGCAGTGTGGGGAGAAACGAGCGAACCAACTAACGAGGCTCTAGTATAGTGGACTTTTACTGTGATCAGGCGAAGCTCTCAAGAGGCAAAAGTTCTGTGGACCAATAGCTGTTAGCGGGAGAACTTGGTGTCTTGGTGGTGGCAGTGGCCAGTCACTGTGAGCGAAAATCGAGAACACTCTACCTGTTTGCATCATGTGTGGTACTTGCTATTACCAGTGTGCGTAGTGATCGAGGGTCGAATGGCGGCGGGACCTTTCTTAGGAGGTGAGAATAGGTAAGTCTGTGGATGAAGGGCAAGAGCGATTGCTCCTGTCAATGGGTGTCGTCAGCAAGAATGGCCAGGAATGGCCAGGATTCAAACCAGGGTGATCCCAGGATATACATGACTATTCCCTGTAGGACGATAGTGCACCAATCCTCAACTAGCAAAACCGACCGTTTAGAAAGGCGGGGAAGCTTGATAACTCCTTCTTCTGTAGCACTGGTGTTCAAATGAGAAAGAGTAGAGTTTAAAGTAATGTTATACAAAGTGTACCTACAGGCCAGTATGTAAGGCCCTTCCATCTCATTACTGACATGTCCATCTCTAGGTACGTAGAATACAGTACAGTACAGTACTGGCAGGGAGGTTACTTTGCCTCGACACTTTTGAAAAAGGAGTCCAGCCCAGGGTCCCCAGGTGGCGTTTATCTCCGTAGAGTGCAAGTAACTTACAGTACCGTAGTTACATGTACCTACTAACCAAACTCTATAGTGTTGTACACAGAAAGACGGCATACGGTATCTCAATACCTGCGGGTACCTTGTTTCGATGGCCTATTCCAAACACTCAAAACACCCACCGATGGCGCTTCTTTCCGCGGCGACTTATGTGAATGCTCACCCTTCTCATCTTCCCCTGTCCATGATACTCGGGCCTTTACGGCCTGCAAATCCATCTAAAGTGGTGTACCACATCCCTTCGGTTATCAATATCTCCCGGAAGATGAAGGGAAGAATAGAACTGAATCAAAATTAATTATCGAAAAATATGATATGGGAGAGAGGAAGTCGAGAGTGATAGAAAAAAACCACATCTTGCAGGGGCCATCCTTCCAGCGCAGTGCACTCTGCATTGCATGAGCATGAGGTTAATGACGCGTGGTAAATAGGACAGCCTGGACAGGACAGGAAAGGGAAAAGGGAAAAATGGTGGGAAATGATCATTCGATGTGCAACAGCCAGCTTTCAACCTCCTCAATTGCTTGGCCACTCTTGGAGTCCTTCATCCAAGAGATTCGGGGAAGGATTTTCGGGAAGGAAATCGGCTTTTCCGATCCCGATATGTCTCAGAAGGAATCAATAAAAAAAAAAAGCCATTGATGAGAGACTGCTGTTCTGGGATATGTGTTGAGTGTAGGACCCCGAGACTGAATTGGAGGTTAGTTAGAGCAGGTACCTGTAGACTGTAGTTACTCTAATACCCATGATGGATGGATGTGCCAGCTGAGACCAGAGGCTCCCCCCCACCAGAATGTGGCACACGTGGTTGGTGTGGATTTACGGCATGCACACAGAACTATCAATCGCCGAATAGCTAGAGTTAAGTCCCCTCGAGCCCACCGGCTGTTTTCGGTCATAAAGACACCAGAACACTCCGAGATTTGTCGGTGCCGATAATGCAATCTGCAGAATCCATCTTCTAGAAAATATACCTCAAATCAAGACCAGTCAAGACAGCAAAGATCAACAGCAGCAGAAACACCACTAATCTCCATTCAAACGGGTATTTAGGCAGCACGAGCATCCGAATCGCAGTCAGGAGTCATGAGTGATTGTGAGTGGTTGTTTGGCGAGTACGGATTACGGAAATATTACACCACGCGCACTAACACAGGTTGTCCAGGTTGTCCAGGTTGTCCGTGCCCAACAGAACGTTCTCCCCCTACTTCTATCCACAAACCACAGATCTTTACCATCCCAAACAGATACCCCGTCATAGAGAGCGGTACCTACCTACATTCGATCATCAGGAAAACCCCAATACAAAAATATCCGCATAAGCTAGTTCGAATGAAGAGGTTTCAGGTATCGCCGGGTTGAGCCTCATTACCTTTCCTCATTGGTTCATTGGTTACATGTAGTGCTCACCCTTTCTCCAGGGAAGTTCCCATGATCCACAGCATAGGTGAATCACAGACTCCGCCCAGCCCATGAATCACAACCGAGCACCTGCAGGAGGAAGCTGATACCATAATTAAGGGGAGCACGCGAGAAAAACGTGGAAGTAGATCGATAAGCGGCTCTCGAGTGATCACTGGTGAATCTACCGGGCTTCATGCTGTCATATCAATTCCAAATCATCGAATCGGAATTTTACCTCCCAATTCTTATCGATAGATTCTTATGATTGAAAGTTGTGCCAAAGGAATAAAGAAACAACCACTTTACTACATTGATTTAAAGGGGCAGCATATATATCCAGGAATGGTGGAGGCAGGCCGCGGGCATGTTAGGCAAGCATGTCACGGGCTACATCGATGTATATTGAGACTGCTACCACCGCAATACTCGCTTTTTTCATAACGAGTAATACCATCGACAACGTTCTTAAATACATCCACTTTGAGAAAGTACTTCCACAGAATCTATCGGGAGACACCCACTCCGCGGCAAAAAAAAGGTATGCAGTCTCACGGAAAAAAACAACATCTGCGCTTGAGCTAGATTTAAGCGGCATATACCGCATCTTCAATTCAATTAAAGTTCCTCGAGTAGCGGTTTTGTCGAGAAAGGTCTCAGATATATCGGTGTTTGGTTCGAGGTCAAACATACTAGTACTGTAATAGTGCAAAAGATTATCAGGCGGTAGATGACATCCAGGGCGCCGCACACAACCCCTCACACAACTACTCGAACGGGCTAAATTCTAATTTCGAATATATCCCCATGGAGAAATAATAGACGCACTCGATCATTCAAAAAGGGATATGCCATGACTGTGCGCAAATACACAGTACAGAGTAAGTAGGTAGTTACTCTTTTCATCCCGATACACATGCAGGAACCCTACCAATACTCAAATCAATTGTCTCGGCAAAACACGTGGACGGGGAATAAGATTGGCCCAAGCGAGCTTCGCAATAACCAAATTTCACTCACTCATTAAATATCACTCGAAAACACCTTCCGAATTTCGTGGCAGGTGTCGTGCCGAAGGCTTGGATTCTGCGGACTGGGGTCAAGGGTTGTTTGGGTATAAAACCGATTCTCTTTGGAGGTACTAAACCAGCTACAAAAGCACAGAATAGCAATAATTACAACGTCTCCAATAACGTGTCCAGTGATAAACTATAAAGTCAAAGAACCAGTGCAGTAACTAGAGCTCACGTGAATCTCAACGCAAAAAGACCAAAGAATCGGAACTAAACGAAGCAAATAGGCGAGAAAAAAATCTCATCCAGGTGACGATCCTAATAGCATGAGTACCACTTCCTGGAGTCTGGGGGAGGGGATCAACAAGCGTGTAGCGTAACAAAGCTGTCTCTCCCAAGACAAGGCTAACGATGAGCACGAGTGAAAGTGGCATATTTCTTGAGCTAAAATAGCTCGTATTGGGCGGTGATGCCTATAAGGAAATAATGAGACTCTTTTCACTGCTACTACCTTCGGGAAATTCCGGGTTTGGATATGTGGAGGGACCCGCGTTAATGGACCAAATGAAGTGGCAGATCTGCATACGTAAACTACATGTATAGATGCAATTAGACCTGTGATGCTCTCAACCCACTGAACCCGTCGAGCAAAAGACTACCTGTATTCATCACTAGTCTCACGGGGTCGAAGTCTAGACTTCATAAAAAATAATGCTTAGCAAGGAAAGCAGTGATCATGCCGGCCGGCCTCACTTTTCTACGCCTTAAGATCTTCAGATGAGCGAAGACCTCAGCTAGGGTACCGTTACTAAACGCATTATCATCCTTATTATCCTATCTTTTCTCGTTACCGGTCTAGCAACTATTGTGTACTCAAAGAAGCAAAAGCAAAGCATTAGAATAACATGAAGTTATTGGTATATACACACACCTGGGGCATGTTTAACCTGGGGGTACGGTACGACCAACTCCTCACGCGATCGAGAACAACTTCAACAAAAAGGTACTCTTAGTGACTCCCTGATCGCAATTGGAAACGGCTCGAAGTCATATTAGGTTGTCGTAACCCAATCATTAGCTTGATAAGCATTTGTGAGCTCAGACGTGCAAATTCCCTTTGTGTGTGGCAGTTGTAATAAGTCACAAACAAAGTCCCATTATGAAAGACACGGTCTATCAACCATCATGGGTACATAGTAGGCAATGATTCGGACGCGTAGGAAGGCTGATCAGTAATTAATTCCACCTAGCTAGTCCTCGCCGAAAATCGGGGTTTAATCCTCGTCCCGCCGGGGTCGAGCACTCTCCGTATTCCTACAAAGAATAGTACGTTCATAACCCCCAGTTTAACCATCCTCCGGAATCGCGTCTAGTGAAAAGGCAGATACAGATTCTGGTAGAATTACTACGAAAGTGGGTTTTACGTGACCCGATAATCTCATTAGCCCCTAAAGGCGTTTTTACAATAAGCATCAACCAATTGCAAGAAACCCACTCTTTTAGCTCTGACACACATTCGCAATAATTCTACCGGAATCTGTACTAGGTCCAGGAAGCTACATATATTATTTGCGATTAAGAACAGATTTACTTGTTAACTTTAATTTTTAACAATGCGGTCAACCCTCCAATTTTCTCGATTATAGGTTTCTATCCTGGCCGAAAACCGGCAATTCAAGGTCACTCTTAGTATAACCAACACCTAGGTACGTGTTATCAATCAATCAACCCCCAGGTTCAACTCGTCAACCCTCATCACCCATAACCCCAAGATTAAAAATTGGAACCTATTTTAACTGGTTAAAAGCCCAAATTCACTACCTTTAACAGATGGCCCTACTGTTACAGTGAGTTTCCTCCAGTTAGCTGACGCTCTCCGGGAGATATCTCAACCTCGTCCCGGTAACCTGCAGACTGCAGTAGAGTACATGAGGTCCTCCAGACGCAGTCAGATCCATTAAACAGCTACCTACAGACTGGGAACCGGGTTCATCGTTCATAGAGGCACGACTGAAGCGAGAGGGCACTTTGCAGGTTGGTCACCAAAATACCCGTGCGCCTACATGTCGTTGATCCACAGCTTCTCACTCGACCCTCCCATCTCTCACCTCAACCCTCAACCAAACCTATCAACCCCCTCCACCATGCATCAATTACAACCCCACCCCTGGGCCTGAATTCACCGCCTGATCGGTTTCTGACCTCACGCCAAATCAGCATCAGCCCACGTCGACCCACCCCCGCTAGCCTTATACAAAGGCCAGAAAAGCTTCATTTATAAACATTTCCTCCCCACCCCCACTAGCTATACATTCACAAAAAAGCAAAGGGAACGAATAACGATCAAAGCATCCATCCATTCAATCAGCTGCCGTGTACACAGGACCTATAACACAAATCACAGAGTAATTTTATAAGGCACTTACGTATGCACACACCGCGCCGGAGCAAAGGATGTCTACGGTCAATGGGGGATCTCGATATCTGCCTAAGAAGCACAGTTGCGGCACATAAACATTAGATGAAGGGCCCGCCTTATTGCTAACGGATTATTCATGATAACTCGATTTTACTCTTGTTAACTTACTAACAATCGAGCTTTTTTGGTCAAAGTAGCATAGCAGCAGCGATAATGTCCTCCACCACGATCACCACGATCACCACGATCGCCGTGACCGCCCATCACTCCAACTTACCCCGGACATAATCCTCGCCCGGACTCGGCCACGAATAATTGCGCCACTCGTTCTTCTCCATGTCTCCAGCGAATACGTTCTGTACCTGTCCGTACAGATATCTCCTCTCGAGAGCCCCCACGACATCCCCCCAGATGGCCAATAGCTCCTCGAGCTCTTTCAACGAGCTCACACTGCCAACCGAAATCCCCATACTCCCCCCCACATCCACCTTTCTCCCCGCCACCACCGGGCTCACCGCCGACCCACCCCTCGTCCCGTCCCGCACCCATCCCTCAATACTAAACCGCAGCGCCAACATCTCCAGCCTCCCCCCCGTCGCCGCAACAACCCCCGCCGCCTCCGCGCACCTCTGCCGCAGCTCCCCCGGCGCCGGATGAAAATCGCCCATACCCCCCACCGGCACCCCCTGGCTCCTCAACAACCCCATCCCCAACGGCGACCCATTCAACACACACTCCACCCCCGCCTCCCCCACCAACCGCCCCAGCACCTCCTCCGACGCAAGAACAGTGTTCTGCAGCGTGTAGTGCGCATACGACATGACCACATCCAGCGCCTCCCCCGTCTCCTCCTTGACCCGCTTCGCCAGCTCCACCAACACGCCCGTCGGATACCCACTGATACCCACATACCTGCACTTCCCCTCGTCCCTCAACTCCCGCAGCGTCCGCACCGCACCCATCACCTCCTCGGCACTCACAAACTCCACGTCATGGCAATACACTATATCCACATAACTCGTCCCCAAGCGCTCCAGCGAGCGGTTCAGCGACCGTCTCACCCAGTCCGGCGAGTAATCAAACGTGACCGCCGTAATACGGCCGACCTTGGTGCTGAGTATGTACGATGCGCGGTCGTGCGGCGCCGTGGCCAGCGCTGCGCCGAGCATGGACTCGGCGGGGCCGTAGTATGGCGACGTGTCGAAGGCGGTGATGCCGGCGCTGAGCGCGGTGTGCACGATGGCTGTGGTGGGCAGCAGGTGCGGGGTGGTGTTGTATTGGCTGTTGAAGGTTGTGGTGCCGAGGACGAAGGGCGGGAGGATGCTGGAGAGGGGGGTACGTGACATTTTTGCTGTACTGCGCTGTGTGTCTTTCTTTGAAGGTAGGTGAGTGAAGGGAGGGGAGGGGAGGGGGAGACTGAGAGGAGCGGGGTGAGTGGGAGTGAGAGAGGAGAGAGGCTGTTACGGGCTAGAGTACTAGTGAGACAAGGCCAATGACAACCCGCTGGGCGCTTGTGTAATCTGTCTGGATACTGGCATAATCACAGGCTACGTCGGGAAAAATACTTGTCGAGATAAACTGACACCGTGGAACAAAGATAAGAGAACACCCAGAGTGTTCCCAGCGCATATATTGTACAGCGCGATGCCATAAATCACCGGAAGGTGTGAGGTCGCAACGCCGCAACGCCTGACTGCAATGCCTGACCACAAATTTTTTCCACAACCACCGATGGCGCCCAGAGACAGTGTACCCATGCTCCTACAACTATTAAGTTTGTAAAGGTATACACCACAACCCTTACAACTCAGCGGTTGGAGGAGTGTGGGGTAGATGTTCTGGAGGACTAGCTTACCTATTCCCCTGACTTAAATCCCATTGAACATGTTTGAGTACATCTCAAGAAGCTTTACCATCAACACTATCCCCATTTGGGATATGATACTAGATCACCTTAAGTATTGAAGCCCCTTGTGGAGGAAGGTCTAATTCATTGCTGGGAACTGTTACCTGATGATTTATTCTCTAGAGATTTGGTAGCTAGTTGAGAGCATGCCTAGGAGAATAGAGCTGTTATAAAGGCAAGGGGTTGGTATACAAGATATTAAATGTCCAATTATCTTTATTTAGCTACTATTGAACAACTATACAAAAAAACAGCCCTCCAAAGGGTCAATTGTGGTTGCTGGGTGGGTAGTCATGATGGGGCGTGAGGTGTCGAAACCCGTTGCTACGCCGCCCCATACGATGATTTATGTCCTAGAACTATATAAATGACGGCGGTGTTAAAGGGCTGCATATCTGTCGATTTTGCTTCCCAAATGGCGAGCTAGCTATATACTGTAGGGCTACTAACAGGTTGGCGCAACGTGAAGATATCAGCAACGCAGGAAGAGCGAAAATCAGATACGGCGAGGTCACCTCCTGCGATTAGGCATAAACGCTTCTATATTGTGCTGCTGCTGCACAGCGCCGTCATTTCTGATATCATTGGAGGAGGCTGAAGATCGAGATGCAAGGGATGCCAATGCTGTAAATCAAAGAGCCTCCGCGGTCGTATGGATAATGCCTGTTTTATATAATCATCTCCTGTATCTACATATATATATCATGTCTACTCTAAATCTAAATGCTTCAATATCCATGTTCAGTTCAGAGCCGCACAAATAAACCCCCCATACTACTGCTGCTGCTGATCTCGTCGCAACACCTGACATACTCCAACCTCAATCCCCACCCCGCCAATTAAGAATGCATCTCACCCACCTCCCTCCAGGATCTCTTCCCGCGTTCGCGCATCTGAATCAGATACATTTAGCACTAAAGCCAGTCACCACTCCTTCCTCTGGTACCGGTCTACACTTTAGCTCTACCGACGCCGCCGACGATTCAGGGCCTCTCGTAAAAATCCCACAGGATCTTATACTCTGTGCCTCCACCGTCGAAGCTCGTGCCAAATATGACCATCACCTTGCAGAAGTCCTGAAGGCTGTCGGAGAGTTCGCCAGGAGCCCAAGGGGCGCAATAATGGTTTTTTTGTTGGTCAGCTTCAGCACAGCTGCCGGGTTGGGTGTTGGGCAAAGGGGAACGTGGAGTGAGTAAGTCACCGCTGATAGTCCCTTTATCGTTAATGTTGCTATCGCTATCATTGTCACTACCGCCAATACTAGCGTTATTTTGGGTGGTAATGATCGTTGGGCTAATATCTATATGGGGCCGGAAAGATATGTCAAATTCCTCCCTGATCGGGTAGCACTGCCAACAACCTGGACCGAGCACGAGCGTCATCTTCTGAAAGGCACAAGTCTAGCCACCGTAAATCACACGTTCTTCTGCTTCATCAGATCTCACTCTTCCGGGAGGATTCGGTCCCAAATACTAACCTAATAATCGTCACATATGTAGGCAGTAGAAGCCAAACTGCACACCCTCATGACTGAGTTTACACATCTACAGACTAGTACAGCTCATCTACCATGGTGTCAGTCCCATTGGTGGGACCCTCCTGAGGAGCTTATACTCGAGGATTGGATCCATATTGATTCGATTTTCCGGTCCCGTGTGCTGCAGTTCCCCCGGTTGGGCGTGGGAATGGCGCCGGTGCTGGACTTTGTTAACCACGGCGATCCAAATGCATATTATAGTGTAGATGAAGATGGTGATGTTGTGTTACTATGGAGAGAAGGTGTAGAAAAAAGGGAAGGGGAGGTTTTCATCAAGTACATACTCTACTCTTGGTGTCCATATGCATGAGGATGGCTAATAGCACTGGTGGTGTAGCTATGGAAGTGAAAAGTCTGCCGCCGAAATGGTGTTCTCGTACGGTTTCATCGACGCCAGCGTGTCTAACGCCTTTTGGCTATCAATCGAGCTACGCCATGACCCGGAAGACCCACTCGGTTTAGCCAAAGAAGCAGTGATGAAGGAATCGCCGAGGTTAAGGATTTTTGTGTTGGATGGCAAGATAGCCTGGCTGAGCACTTTCATTTGGCTAATGTGTGTCAACGCCGAAGATGGGTTGTCATTCAGACTATTGCAGGAGAATGATGGGAGTAGGAAGCTGTTATGTACATGGGGGGGTGAGGTAGTGGAGGAGATCTCTCACCTAGAAAGCTTGCTAGAGAAGAGCGCACTATGGGAAGTGTACCAGCTGAGAGCAGTGTCCCTTGTCCAGGGAAGAGTGATCGAGCAACTGAATGAGCTGGTGGCTGCGGAAGAGGAGATGCAGAGTATAACTGGAGAAGTTGGTGAGATGGCAGAGAGATTGCGGGTTCTGGAGGGAAATTTATTGAGGAAAGCGGTAGATGACCTGGAGGTGCAGAAGGAACGGCTAGTGGAGACGGAAGTGGTAAAGGAGTACCTGAAAAAGATGGCGGAAGATGAGAGTGTGGAGGAGCAGGCTGTGGAGCAGGCTGAGGACCAAGACGAGATTCAAGACGACGATGAGGATTTACGGTGAAGTACAATGTTGAACACCGGGATCCATCAAGAGACTTGTAGATACATATAAGAGAATAGTGTATCCAGCTCTTCGATGGTTCATATTTATACTTCAATTCCAAAGGGTTAGTTGTCGTCTAAGCTACACAGACCACATAGTCTGATACGAATGGCCAGTTTATCACGTAGAGCTCCCTATACGCTTCAATGATGACACGCAGTTTCAGCGGAAGAATTCGACCTTGATATTCTTGAATAATATGTGGCTAAACTCCCTTTAGAACCAATCGATCAATGAATCAGTAAATAAATCTCGTTCACTGCATGTAATTAATGAATTAAACAAAAAAATCTCGTTCACTCAAGATGCCCGGATACGAGTGATATTTCATGTCGCACCCGGCATCCAAATGATAAAACCCTAACCCACCCTCAGTCTTTTTATCATTAAACGACTCCACGCGGGGGGAAAAACCGCTTATACTATTGATAAATATATTAGCATTGGTGTCGTAAATTAAATACAGTCGTCTTTGTTAGATTTTTGATCAAGCACAATCCTACATGATTACGTGGACGAAGTTAGGTCTTCCTTAGGGACGCAAGATCTAGCCAGTAAAGCTATCATATTAAATCCAGTGAGTTGTTCCAATATATTTATCACAATAGCCACGAGTACAGTAAACATCAGTATGTTTAAACCGATTAAGTGGACATGTTGGGATAATTATTGTGTGGGTTAGGGTTTCATCTAACTCTATGTCGTGTAGATGGCACCGGAGATTAATTGAATCACGACGAACTGTCAAATTGAAAGATTCAAGAATATTTAGATTGTAATCTCCGGTCCTCTCACGGTTCCTTTGTCTGAGTGTTCACGGCACATTGTATAATATGAAACAGTCTTTCATGGGTCAATCATAATTTAACGTCCAAAAGACAAACAATCATTAAGCACTCAGATATACAGTCAATTAGTTGTATATGCACCCTATATGTATATCACGTGTAGAAAGAACGGCCAGGACACAAGCTACTTTATTCCAAGTATAATCAATCTGGTACACCGAGAAATTATTGAGCTCGAGCTCGAGACTGTCTCAAGACCGGGCCGGGCCCCTCTCGGCGACAGGAAGCAAAACAAGACACAATCGCAAAACAGACCCAGGGACGAGCTCAAAGAGCTTCAAGGTTTTCATAACTTCCACAAAACGGCCCTCGCATAAAATATTTCAAGGGTTATGGTCTATATGAGCTCAGTTAATATCAATGATATTAATATTGATCGTGATCGATCGATTGATTGGTAATTCATTCGTGTATGCATGGCTCAATTATCATCACTAACAATACGAGTACTGTTATTCACATGCAACTATCCCAAAGTCCTATCAATGAACATCTCATCTTAGGGAAAGGATATAGGCAGATCTAGACTCGGTGCTGAGTTATCACTCGTACACTCGTCCCCCGCGCACACCACATTGCAATATTCTTCAGCTGCCGGAGTCCCTACATACATACAAGCCCGGAGCACAATCTCCTTTTCCCCCATAACCAGCAGTTTACAAAGCCCCGCATAAGCCGCGCACGGCCTGCTCCCGGCGTTCGTTATTATTGCTTCCCCGGTTTATTACTCCAATTTGCAGGGTTAGGGTTTGCCTCGGGTTTCATGTAGATGAAGTACTATCCAGTGCTGCTTTCAGTCACTAACAATCACTCGCCCCACTGACCGTCTCTAGCCACCACCTAAGCAGGTAAGAATCTAAACACCACACTGAATGAAACAGGGAAGCCAATGCGCTCACAGAGAGAGAGAGGGGGCGGATCCGGCCATCCTCCTGCCTGATATGAAATCTCGATCGATATCCTACTGTTTCAAGTGATATCATGGCCGCTGGCACCA